CTGTGAGAATATTGAATAGGCGCTATATATATATTGTCCTTAATAATATATACATATTTTTGAGGTTCAAACTGTCGTATATACAGTTATTAAGAAATATTATCGCCGTAACGATTCTATCAACAAAGAAATTACTCACACAAAGAAACTGTGGAATTTAGAGTTCCTTTGTTAAAAATACTATAAATACTAAATGAACTACATATAACAATATCACAAACTCTATTGCAATGCTGATGGTAATGGTTACCGGAAAAAGCATTTACGTAAAGGAATATATGAAAAATGCAGTTTAAAATAATTAGAAATTTTATTATTAATTTGAATAAATTGAAAAATATCGATAAAATAATTGTTCGAAAAACTTTGTTACAAAATCAACAATGCAGAAAATGCGGTGATATATATATAATAGAGTTCGCATATAACAACTAAATTGTGTTGCTTTGAAAAAGAGAAACGATTTTATTAATAAAAAATAATAAATTAATTAAATCAATTTAGCCTTAATTAAATAAATGTCGTACCTGAAAAAGAGAAACAACAATTAAAGCTATTATATATAATAACCAATATTAACTAAGAGATAGAAGAAATATTCAGAATATCCAAATAATTTCAACTCAAACAAAAACTTAAATTTAATCTGTCAAACGTTTCACAATTTACACAATAACGTTGTACACCATAACTCAATTCATAATGAAGTGGAAATCCTTCATTACATCTCCCCCTCAAAAGAAGACTTAGATTCATCCGGCACAGGAACAAGTTTTGTAATGTGGAAAAGATTGGATTCAAACTTTTTGTGTCCTGTATTGATTCTATAAATTGAGTTTGACAATTTTTCCAAAACCTGGTAGGGACCAATTTTTAATTCCTTTAGTTTTTTTCTATTTAATGAATTTCCGTTTTCAACATATACCAATTTTTCTATTGACAAGTTTTATAAAATCGCTTGAACTTTTAGTTTTTGAAGTCAAAATATATGCATATCGTGTGAAGTGGTCTACCAGAAGATGCAAATATGTTTTAGTTGAACGTGAGCCACCAAGTCCCCCAGTGGTATCAATTGATATGATTTCAAAAGGTTTTGTAGCGGGGCCTAGATGGTACATTAATCCAAATTTATATTTTGATCTGGATTTATTTTTTATGCGGATTTCACAAGTTTCGCAAAATTTTTTTATATTTTGTGTTATATTTTTTACTATATACAAGGGTTTTATTTTTTTTCCATTTGTTGTATTCCTATGTGACCATATAAAATGTGTGTGTTTTCTATAATTTTTATACTAAATTCCTCAGTCAGTAAAATCTTTTCCGTTTTTCCCACCTTTTTGTAATATACTGTGTCTTTTAATGATAGTCGATTTTGGTGTTGTTTTATGTCTTCGTTTATTTCTTGGTCCTTTTGAATGTCTTCAAGTGAAATAAAATTTACAACTTTCAAAATATCTTCTCAGTTTTCATATGATTCCAATACAGGATTTCTACTCAAACTGTCTGCTTCTATATTATATTTTCCTGGTAAATATTTTAATTCAAAATCAAATTGTGACAAATAATACGTGAGATCACCTAGTTCTTCATCTGGTCTAGCTTTAATATTCAATTTTTCTAAGGGTTTATGATCAGAGAAAACCGTGAATTTTTTTCCCATGAGCCAATGTTGCCAATATTTTACTGCTTCTTTTATAGCTAAGCACTCCAAATGAATGGCATTTTTCTTTTTTTTCTATCATTTAGTTTCCTTGAGAAATATGCACAAGGCTTTTTTTCTACATTATATTGTGGTTGCTTCAGGACAGCACCTATACCCTGTATACTAGCGTCTGTATAAATGTGTATTGGTTTGTCTGGATCAAAGATATTTAAAATGGGGCTCTTACAAAGTAGATTTTTTATTTTATCAAATGATTCTTGACATTTTTTCGACCAAATAAACTGTTCATCTTTTTTTAACAATTTATGCAGTGGCTCTAATATAATTGATAAATTAGCTACATATTTTCCATAAAAATTAATTTTACCCAAGAACCGTCGTACATTTTTCCGTGTTTTGGGGACAGGAAAATTTTTTATTGCAATTAAATTATCTTTCAATGGAGTTACTGTGTTATTTTTTATTATATGACCCAAATATTTAACTGAGTCTTGGGCAAAGTTACATTTAGAAAATTTTAATCTGAATCCTTCTTTCAGAATCGCATCCAATAGAAAGGATAAGTGTTTATTATGTTCTGTAAATGATTCAGAAAATATTAAAATATCATCTATGTAATTAACAGTGAAGTCTGATAGTCCGTGTTTCCTAATGATACTAATCAATACTTTCTGAAAAATTGCCGGAGATGTTTTTAAACCATATGGTAAGCAGGTCCATTGAAAATGATTTTCTTGAGTAACGAATGCAGTTTTTTTTCTGTCTTCTATTTTTAAAGGGATTGACCAGAATGCAGAGTTTATATCCAATGTTGAAAAATATTTATAATTCTTTGTTTTTACCATTAAATCTTCGATTAGCGGAAACGGATGTGATTGAGGAACTACGATTTTATTTAGGCCACGAAAATCTATGCATAATCTACATTTTTGTCCTTCTTTTTTATAAGCCAATGTTACTGGAGCTATAAGACTCTTCAATCAAATTTTTCTGTAATAATTTTGATACTTGCTGTTCTATTTCTTTTTTATCTTCAATACTACACCTGTATGGTCGTTTACTACAATATTTATCTACTTTTAAATCAATATGGGCTTCTTATCCTTTCACCGTGCCTATGTCGTACTTATTTTTAGCAAAAAGTGTTTTATATTATGAAATTATTTTATTAATTTCAGATTGTTGCTGAAAGTTTAGATGGTTTACTGAGATGTTGAAGCATATCGTTTTTATATGTTCATTGAATTTACACTATACTTTATTAGCATAGAACTGTACCAGTCCATGCACGTTTCCTCTAAAAATAACCTCAAAGCCTCAATTTTTTTGTATCTTCATCGATTCCTAAACGAGCACATTCTGTTTCAAAAATATTCATCCATTGAGAAACATTTGATGTTTTTCTTGAAAATTTATCTATTACAAATGTTTTCGTTAGGTTTCCTATATGTTGAGGTTTATTTATTTCCTTGGTCATTTCTGTAAAATTCTCCAATATTTTTGACAGTGTTTCTTCAGAAATTCCAGTCGTAGCTGTCAGTTTCGGTGTTTCCGCAGTAATTTCCTCTAGTAAATACTCTAGTAAATTTCATTTAACTGCATATTTCCATTTTCATCTATATAAACATTTCTTATTTCTGGTGTTAATGAAATCCATACTTGTCTTTTTTCATGTCTTCTTTGTAATGTAGTTTTTACTTTCAGAAAAGTTTCAGTCTTCATAATTGTCTCATGAAATTTTACCGGCTGAAATTTATCCGGAATTGCAAATATGCGGTTGTTCATATCCGTAATTGAGGTTATGCATATTACATTTGTTTTTGGATCTTCGTTCGATTTTACTATGAATTCAAATTTCAATTTGTCCATGGTTCAATAGCTGTAGAATTGTTGTTTTATAATAGAGTTCGGTATATAACAACTAAATTGTGTTGCTCTGAAAAAGAGAAACGATTTTATTAATAAAAAATAATAAATTAATTAAATCAATTTAGCCTTAATTAAGTAAATGTCGTACCTGAAAAAGAGAAACAACAATTAAAGCTATTATATATAATAACCAATATTAATTAAGAGCTAGAAGAAATATTCAGAATATCCAAATAATTTCAACTCAAACAAAAACTAATTAATCTGCCAAACGTTTCACAATTTACACAATAATGTTGTACACCATAACCCAATTCATAATGAAGTAGAAATCCTTCATTACATATATATATATATATGTATATATATATATATACACACACACACATATATATATATTATATATATATATACATGCTGTTTAATAATATCACAGAATTGCATGCGTTGTTCAATTTGCAATTAAGCTTTTCAATTTTCTTACGACGAATTTCAGTTCATTATCAAGTTTGTTCAGTTCATAAACAAATTTTTTATTCATGTTTGCATTTTCATTTAAATATTAAATGTTAGCTTTTTCACGGTTTTGTAGCGCAATAAAAGAGAAATTTTATCAGGCAGTTATAAAATTAAGAAGACAAAAAACCAAAAAAAGGAAAGTATTTATATTTCACATAAATACTTTCATTTTACACGATTTTATCCTAACATTTCTTAACGTTTGGTTTCTATCCTGTCTTAAATTTCACTGGTCGAATAAAATCAAAAACGTCGTTGTTTCGACGTTCGTGTGATCTAACGTTTTAGTGCATTAAAATGTAATAATATATGAACTCTTTTCATAAACCATCCATGCTATATGTGTAAATTATATTTCATATAATTATCTATGTTTAGGTATTCTTTGAATTTCTATTCTGTGCTTGTAAATAATGTTTCATTACTTTGATATTATCTTATATATAATTGCAAATAGCACGAGGTTATATTTTATTATTGTTGGCTTTGTAAACGATCCTGGAATTTAATTTTTCTACTTAGATATATAAATCAGGTTATTCGAAAGCAAACTTATATATGCTATATAAAGCGTAAAAATTTCATTACATTCTGTTCAGCGGTTTAGGAATCATAAGCTTTTATAAATAGATAATCATAATAAACAAAATAGCGGACCTCAAGGACGACAAAGGTAAGTTAAGTGTTTAATAAAAATACACAAACTGGCTCTTGAGAAGTTTAAAGTTTGTAAAAAAAAACTAGTAAAAGCTAAGTTAAATATAAACAACGTTTAACAAAAACTTTTAATTATAAACTAGAGACGACTCAATATTTTTATTTGCTTAAACAACAAAACGCCTCAACGAGACAGTTTCACTTTTTATCCAATTGTTACTTTACGCTTTATAGGACATGTTCGTCCGTACTGGTCAGAAACGACGTGTAGGCGGTTTATTCATTAAAAATGTCTACTCATTATATGACAAACAAAATGTTATGCACGTGCCAGCCAATTTGTAACAATGCACGGATCCACAAAAAACATTTTTTAAAGCAAAATGACACGATCCTGACAAGGGTAATCTGATATATTCTTTTCTGTTCATCTAATGAATACTTCAATGCAATATGGTGTATTTATTGATTTCTTTTTGAATAATATGTTCTTGGACTTGGTGATTTAAACAACATTTGCATTTCTTTGAGAACTCCAAAATTCCAAATGGGCTCACCACCAACATTCGTTTTGGATTGTATATCGTTGTAATATGACTGTTCGTTATTTTGGTTTGACTGCAGATGGATATCATTAAACAAATCTTTCGGAAAATTAGTTTTTGTACCATTAGATTTCTGTTATAAATTATTTTATATGTTTCAAAATATATATTTATTATTAATATTTTGAAGTGAACAAGCAAAAGTTTTTAATTTATCAACAATTATAACACGTAATAATAAATTCATCATCTAACAATTTAATCATCCGAGTCGCTCATACTTTTTAGCTTATTTTTTAACCAATTTAATTGTTAAAAAGGTTTTTAACCAATAAACCGTTAATAAAAAATAAAAAAAATTTTCATGAAATCGTATACGTTTATGCACCCCAAAGCAATTTCCATAGTTACTACATTCATTTTTATTAATTAAACTACAGCAATCATGGTCTAGGACATTGTTAAGATACCATTTTTCTTAAGTTATAAAAAAAAATTTTGCGCTGATTTTTACCGAAATATTTTTATTGGGGGTGCATTTTGCACCCCTAATAAACATTTCAATATAATAACAAAAATTTATTATTGCTAATAAATTTTATTAATTATGATGAAATAATATTTTAGTAACATTTGGCTATCAGTTTCACCTTTTTTTGAATGTCAGTCATTTTGTTTTATTTGCATTTCATCTAACACTAGGTGACATGGCTAGTTATTCAACAGCTAATTAACTCTCTTAGAATGATTATGCAGGAAGATGCAGAAAGTGATGAAAACAATGTTACAGAAAATGATGCCAATAGTGAAGATGGAAATTATTTGCTAGGATTAGGTGCTGATTCTGATACTGAAGATCATGTGTCAGAGGAATCTGATGAATCGGAAGATGTCATTATATATGATGAAAAGCCGGTAAATCCACCTTCTACAACAGTGACTAATAGAGGTAAGGTAGAGCAAATGGAGAAAGAGGAGATAGAAGCAGATTATGTCGTGGAAGGGACACACACGGTACATCGTGAATTAATCCTTTTAATATCCAGTACTTCTTGAGCTAGCGGTTCTCTGACAAAAATTCCAACACCATTTTTGGCCGTCTTTTGACCATTCCAGAATAGTTTATATTTTTCTTTGTCTGAGTTGACATGACAGACACCATTCGATTTCCATCGGGTTTCCTGAAGCCAGCAGATGTCAATCCTTCTACGCTCGAGCATTTCTGCGATTTCCATGCTGCGGCCAGTCAGTGATCCAACATTGAGCGTTCCAAGTCTAAGTACCATAGAGGGGCCATTCTGAATTTTTCTGCAACATCCCTCCGCTATTGCATACTTCCCAGAGATTCTTTGCACCCCTTGACCACTTAAGGCCTGCTGGGGACTAGGGGCCGTTGTTTTTCTTTGTGATGGCACAGGAATAATTTGGGGAAAAGTTTTTACATCCAGACACCCCTCCTGACGACAACCACCAGTTATAAGCGGTGGGCCTAGCCTTTTGTTCAAAAGCACGCAAGGCAGCGTGGATGCAGTTTTTTGTCATGCCCAGGACCATACACAAGTTGTTGTAGTTGTTGTGGTAGTTTTTTTTTGTCATTAAGGAATGACAATATGGATCACAAACAGATACACAAACGCAAATCATCATGATATCTATCATCACACAAGTGCAGATACAAAGGTATGAACAGAAAGAATAGAAGACCAAAAACTAGATGGAAAACTGTTTCGAGCGTAATTTAAAGAAGACAAAACTTTTTCATCCGTTTACTAAAATTAGTAAAATTAGCTGTTAAAGTTTTTAGAAACTATTTAATTATTTAAAATATTGTGCAAAAATATGAATAAAAAAATTACTTCGATGGGAGTAAGAATCGAGTTATTTTTCATAAAAGTAGCAAGCTCATGATCGTTTAAAAAGCTTTTAACTGGATTACTCATCAGTATTTTGCAATTTGACACACTATCAAAATTTACGATCTGATTTGGACAGATGGGTTCTTTGCACAGATTAGAGTCATCATCGAAATAAAATGAATCTAAAATGCTCGCTTCCTTATTTTCACCAATTTCGTAATTTTCCAAGTAAAAATCTTTTCGAGTTTCTTCAACTTTCTCTACATCATAATTGTTACCACTAAGTACTGGTATGAAATTAAATGTTTCAACGATCAATATTGAAAATTTAGTTAAAAACAAGAATATATATTACGTCAAATTGTTTTAAGCTAATTTATATAAAATACAATTTAAAATAACAGCCGTAGTTTATAGGTGAAGTACTGACTGAAAAATGAACTGGTTTGTGATTAAATTTGCCGTAAATGTATTGTGGGTTTGTCAGACGTTGAGCAATAAGCCAACAAGACTAGATAAGATATGTTGAGCAATATTGATTGATTGAATAATAGATAATTCAAAAAAAAACTAGATGAAAAAGCTAATGGGATAAAGGAATAATTAAAATGCAGATGCGAAAACACTTTAGTTCTACAGAAACAGCAATATGGTACGTGTTCTGAATTGTTTGTTTTCATTGACAAATAAACGTTAACTTAATAAAAATGTTGCACATGAATGCAGCATTTGAAATATTTTGACCATCCAAACTCTTTTGGCAGATATGTAGATTACCAATCTACAAATCTGGTCCATTGACATATTGGTTCACTTTACGCTTTATATGATAGGTTCGTACGTACTGGTCAGAATATATATACATTTATTTTTATTATGAGACTTGGGTACAAGCCCTTTGCCCCAACTAAAAAAATATAACATTACGAAAAGAACGATTTCAAAGATAAAAATAAAACAATTAGATTACAACAGAATATAACAATATGGAAAGAACCATTTCAAAATAAAACAACTAGGATACAATAATAAGATACAAATTGTTATTCAGTTTTTTACAGACGCAAAATAACTACACAAAACCTAAATTTTTAACCAAAAAAGAGAGTGTTTAAACAACAAAATGTTCAATTCAATAAATTTCTAATTTAACAACTAAAATAACATTGGCCAGATCAACGAGCATAAAACCAACGATAAGGAAACTCAAACAAGTTATATTTATCCATTTATAAAGATGTTTTATGTTAGATACATATATAAATAATCAAGTTGTTATAAATTTCATCTACCAAATCTATCATCAACCGGTAGTGCATTCCAGGGGTATAAGACGCGATTTGAAAAAAATACTTTCAGCTATCTTTTCTCGCAAGACGAGTCAGTAAACTAAGATGATGACCTCTGGTGTCAGTCTCCGCACGGCGATTTAACAGTGGGCTAATTGAAGGATCCAACAGATTATGAAGAATCTTCTTCTTCTTCTGCAGTTTTACGGCGCTTCAGCTCTGATAGGCTGTCTTTACGTCTTTGGATCCTGTTGATTCTATTTTTTTCTTTCTATTTTTTCTTTCCTCTCTTTTTTTCTCTTTTCTTTTTTTCTTTTACAAATCACTTTTGAACAGTGGGGGAATTAGATGTTGTTAAAAATGTTTATTTCTTTGATAAATGACATTAGGTTTTTTTATATTTTCATCTTTAAAAATTGAGTGGATATTTTCTGGTATTTGATGTTTTTTTGATGTTTTTGGTATTAGATGATTTCTGGATTCATTGAATGTTTGACATTCTATTAATGTGCGTTGAATTGTTAGTTTTGCATCGCAGTTCTTGCAAAGTAGCCGATTTTTAGTCTGTTTACGATGTTTAAAACATTTCGACTTAGCTCGTTGATTTTGATGTTTTTGGATTCATTTAATTCTGGCAACACTATTTTGAGAAAATTATTTATCTTGTTCCATTCCTTTTGCCATTTATCAGATACAAGGTCGTTTTTCATCACTCTTATGTCATGATATGGTATTGGAATGATTGATGGAGAATCTGAGTGAGCTTGTGATGCCAATTAATCCACTCTTTTGTTTCCTTCAATCCCAATGTGGCTAGGGATCCAGATTAATGTAATATCATTTTATTACTTAGTGTCGTGTATTTTGTTTTGCATCTGAAGAATTAACTGATGTCGAGGTTTGTACTGTTTTTATGCTACGAGAGTTGATAGCGAAGTTTCCTGTTGAATTATATATGGAGGTTAAGCTATAGCTGTTATTTCTGCTGTGTGTATTGAAGTATAGTTTGGAAGATGATGAGTAAGACTGTTGGTATATTGAAATTGCTGTTGGAATAGCACTGATGCTGTTGTTGAATTTTCTTTTTTCAAGCCATCAGTTAATATTTTAATAATATTTTCGTTATTGTCGATTTTTTCTTTGAATAATATTTTTGCCAGTTCTTGGTTTTTGCTTGCTCTTGTTATTGTTGTATCAATTTCAGTACAAGACATCAGCCATGGAAGGATTTTGTGAGTTACCTCCCTCAGAATTTCTAATTTATCTATTTCTTTGGTATATTCTTTTAGTCTTGTAGCAATTGTAGGAATGAATTTTGCTCTTGTTGATTGATTTTTGGCCATTATGTATTTGTAAGCAGAATTTTCTGTTTGAGATATAAGATGTTTTAGATAATAATTTATTGCAAAGTTTTGATGTCTAAGGCTTAGCGGTATCTCTCCTGCTAAGATATGAAGGCTGTTTGATAGTAATGTTTTGAATGCTCCTAAGCATTTTCTTAGAGCTTCGTTTACTAGTGGTTTGAGGATTTTCATATAAGATTCTCTAGTTCCACCATATACTGGGCCACCATAATCTAATATTGATCTTACTGTTGCTCGGTAGATTGTCACCAAGTGTTTCTGGTGTGCACCTCGTGTATAGTGAGACAATACTTTAATTAAATTCAGAGACTTTAGACATTTCTTTTTTGTTCGCTGTATATGAGTTATAAAATTTAGTTTCGCATCAAATATTATTCATAAATATTAATACTGGGGAGTAAACTCTATAAGATTCTCTTGAAAAACCAGTTCGGGGTATGTTTTGTTTCGTTTTCTTGAAAACAACTTTGCTTTCGATTTAGATTTTGAAAATTGCATCACATTTTCTAGTGACCATTTCTCTATATTCTTCATGGTTTTATTTATTTCCATCTGTATTTTATTAACATCATTATTTTTGAACGAGATGGTTATGTCATCCATGTAAAGAGATATCATTGTATTTTTAAGAATTATTTTTGTTATATTATTGATGCTCAGACTAAGAAGTTAGGAGAGAGGATACTTCCCTGAGGAATGCCTAATTCTGGGAACATTGTTTCTGATAAGGAGTTGCTGACCTTTACAACGAATGTTCGATTTTTTAAAAAGGCCTAAATAAACTCTGGGAGATGTCCTCTTAATCCTGATTCGTATAGCTTCTTTATAATTCCATAATTCCAAGCAGTGTCATAGACTTTTTCTATATCGAAAAATAATGTTACAACTTGTTCTCCTTGATTCAAAGCTTGCCTTATGAAGGTTTCTAGTGATACCAAATGGTCTAGTGTTGATCTTCCTTTGATGCCTCCACATTGTACGTTTGAAATAATTCTCCAATATTTTACATGTGCAACAGGTCAGAGATATTGGTTTGTAGTTGTCTGGATGTGATTTTGATTTGTTTGGCTTACTTATAAGGATTACTATTGCATGGAGCAATATTTTTGGTAGTCTCGCGTTGGGCCATATGTAGTTATAAATTTTAAGTAATATGGCTAATGATTTTTGAGAAAGATTTTTTAACATTTGATAAGATACATGGTCTGGACCAGACGCAGAATCTTTGCTCTTGTCGATTTTATGCAATATTTTTCTGATTGTTATTAGAGTATTATAAATTCATGATGTTCTGTGTTAAAGTCTATAAGTTCATTTTTTTCCTTAGTTTTAAGTTTTTCAAATTTCTTGTTTCGATTTTTGGTGCATTGCTGAAAGTTGTGAGCCAACACATTTGCTATTTTTTCATCTGTTTCATATATTATTTTATTAGTGATGATGTGATTTGTTTTGTTGTCCAAATTTTTATTTTTCATTTTTCTAATCATTTGCCAAACTTTTTAAACGGGAGTATCTCCTTTAATACTATTGATATATGATTCCCAACAAGATCCCTTTTCTTTTCTCACAACTCTCCGAGCTACAGCTTTCAATTTTTTTTAATTTATCAGATTTATTAGTGTAGGATTGTTTTTGAATGTTTTGAATGCTTTTTGTTTCTCTTTTATTGTACTTTTGCAGTACAATCCAGAACATCCCTTAGATATTGAAACGATGTGACTTTCTCTACCTTAATGGCTTCAAAAACAGTGCTATTTCGAATTTGTTGTTGTAGATTGATACAAACGGGACAAACAAAATTGGACACTTTAGATAAAGTACAAATTAGTTTTGAACAACGTTTGTGACACCACTGGTTACAACAGAGGTGGACATGGGTTGGGTTAACCCATGGGTTGGGTTGGGTTGGGTCCAAATTTTTTAAAATTGTGTGGGTTGGGTTGGGTTGAAATTTTTAAATTTTATTATAAATAATTTATTTCTGTATTTTTTTTATTCTTAAACGAACATTTTAACTAGTTAATAATCGGTGTATTTTATATCGCTGTAATATCATTGTATCTTTGGTCTATCGTTTCCACTTTCTTTTTGTGATTATTGAGTTGAGCAAAAGTTAACTTCTTTTCGATCGAGAAAATTAGTTTTATTTACAAGTATGGCAGAATCAGAAGAAATTCAGCGTCATTTGAGAGGTTTGTGTGATTTAAATTTGCTAAGTTTGCGAAAGTAAAAA